GTATATATATACATATTGTATGTATATATTATATATACTATATATATACACACACATATATATATATATATGTATATATATATATATATATACTCATAAGAAAATGAACACACAGAATCTTGCACAAGAATTCATATCCAACTTGCCTTATCCTGTCTTCTGTGGCCTTCGCCTCGTCATCTAAGTTTTGTTTCAGCTGCTGCTGCATTGCTGAGTGGCACCGTGTGTCAAATGCATAAGACAGATAAATTGCATAATGAGCTTATGACAACAAGTGTGCTTGGGATACGTATTCATTTCAAGAATGTGATATGGTATGGCTCTGCACGGAAAGTATAGATCCAATATACACTGGCGCATATGCACGCCAAATTCTGATTCGCCTGAATTCCAGCGCAAAATAAGGACATTATCTAATGAAACTAGGATACATAAAACATCTATAAAATGCATTAACACGTATCAAACAAGACATCCATAGAAAGCGGCATCGCAACACTATATATATACATACATGTCAGTAGGTCCAGGCACCACTTCGGTTGCTCCAGTACATCTGTGGGGATTAAGGTAGTGTGAGTGGATGTTTGTCAGTAGGAGAGTCTGGAACGTATGGCTCGACTGGGAAGAGGCGATCAAAATAATTACACTAAAAACAATTGATGGTCCAATTTTTGAGACGAAGGATCCACGCCTTATACTGACACCAGAAAACTGGATCGATAAAATTGCCTTTCAAGCCTAAGAAGTTCGTTACCTTCTCCCTCTATGCTAATTTCTACAATTATCAGAATCAATAGTCACACTCACATTTGTCTTTTGCAAAACTACAAAGATCAGGTGGTTATGCCAAATAGACAATGGGCTTATATCGTACGCCACTACCAAATAATCATGGTCAAATGGGCGATGGGCAAATTGGGTGGTTTTGTGTAAAAAACTTGTACCGCGAAAACCCCAATGCAGGAGCAAACATCCATGACTAGGGATCTATATCGAGGCTTGGACTGTAAACCCCTTAATAGAAGTAAATATGCGTGCCTGGGTAGAACATATTTTTGTTTGTTGAGTATGTATGCTTGCGCCAGTGGTGCATTGCCCATTCTCCTCGTGTATCGGGCTGTATGTGAGGGGATTGCCCACAGACACCGTTATACTCGCAATGAATCGACAGAAGCACATTCATACCCAACGAATACGCACACGAACGAACGTAGATACCCGCCAAGCTCCCATTCAGGCCGTGGGCACAAAACATCTCACGATAGAAACAGAACTCTCTTGTGCCACACATGCAGACACACACTTCCTGGGTAATCCAGATTCACACCTGGGCTTCGTACAGGTACACACACAAACTGTACAGCCCGATACCCACTTACGGTCCTGGTATAGCTTAACTATAGTAGTTATAAATACATAAGACAGACATATGAAGATTTGACTACCACTAGATGTCTGCAGGCATATTTGGCTGTGCATTGGTAGTATTAGATGTGCACACATGCATAAAGGCGCATATGTTTACCACATATCTCCCTCGCGTGCCCCTCCGCATACCTTTGGGCAGCTGATCCAACGCCACCGAATCCTTGAGAACCATTTTGAACACCGCCGAATAGTCCGGCTGTTGTTTGCATGTCTGTATATCCTGTTCGTTGCACTATATAAGATGCATGCGATATTTGTGCACGTATGCATATGTAGATGTTAGTATACTTGTACATGGATCTATACACTGAGTTTGTAGATACCTACCTCGCCCATCACTGTGTAGGATATAAACAATATATACATGCAGATTGTCACTTCATAATAGCTTTATGCGTGTATCTCAATATAAGTATGTATGTCGGTGCAATTCCGTGTTTGTTGCATTGTACAGGTCCAGAAAATAATACTATATATAGGGCATCATACCCCAATTGGCCATAGCATTTGGAGAAAGACTTATTTCTACACCTACAACCTGAGTGTACTGTCAACCCATATTTCGCTTTTCATGTAGAAAAACGCCTGATGAATACATAATACTACCGGAGCAGTGGAAATGAAATGCTTTTGAGCAGATACAGAAACCATGTATGAACATATTAACGAAACTAAAGAACGCAGCACAAACACACATGCTCATTTTGGTTCGTCTGCTACGTTTAAAATTGAATTTTCACATAGATGCGCGCGCGCACACACACAGCACGCATACATGCCAATGAAAATAC